GGGTAGGGTTAGGATTTGGGTTAAGATTAGGGTTAAGGGTTGGGGGTAGGGCTAGCGTTAGGGTAAGGGTTATGGTTAGGATTTGAGTTGGGGTAGGGGTAGGGTTAGGATTTGGGCTAGGGGTAGGGTTAGGGTTTGGGCTAAGATTAGGGTTAAGGGTTAGGGTTAGGTGTAGGGTTGGGTTGGGTCTAGCAATAGGACGAGGATTGGGTTAGGGTCTGTGTTAGGGCTAGCGTTAGGATTAGGGTTACAGCAAGGGTTAGTGTTTGGGTTGGTTTAGAATTCGGATTATGGCTAGCTTTAGGGTTAGGGCTAGTTTTAGAGTTAACATTCTTGTTGGCAAAACAAACAAACACAACTTCTCATAATGAGGAAGGATTTTAATAGGTTCAAAGAGCACTAACTGTGTCTACTGGCAGGTCAATCCATAACCAGAGGATAGAGATTTACACTGACTCACCAAAATATCAGAGAAGGAGTTTTTTACACAGCGAGTTGTTGAAATGAGGAGTATGTTGCCAGGTATGCTGTGTGGGTTCAGGGGTGTGGGGGTCCAGTGTGGAAGCAAATTCAATAAAAGGACCTGTTGTAATGTGGTGTGCTGCCCAGTGTTGGCACCTTGTTATATTCTGGTGCCTATCTACTGGTGGATTGTGCCTGGTAGAGCGTGCTGCCACCAATTCCCCTTCCCCTGCTCGTCTCAATGGGACCTAACCAGCCAATCTGATTCGGGGACAGTGTCTGAGAGATAATACTATCCAGGACACTAGGGAGATCTCCCCCAGCTCTTCCAAATAGTGACCATGGGATGGCCAGTAGTCTGTGGTGGAGGACAGGCCATGAGCAAGAGTCAGCAGAGAGCAGCAGTAACTCAGCACAGGGTACTTTAACTCGGAGACAGCCAAACTTTGACTAACGAGAGAGAGAAAAGATCATGCATCTCCATGAGGGGATTACAGCCAACTGCCTGAATGTCAAATTGCTCGACTCTCCACACGAGCTGTGTTACCGATCAGAATGGGCAGAACTTCAGCTTAGCACGTAGATTAACCCTTTCATATCCATGACCTGATAATCAGTAACTCTGAAAGAGTTCTGAGGAAGGGTCACCGGACCCAAAACGTTAACCCTGTTTTCTCCTTCACAGATGCTGCCAGACCTGCTGAGCTTTTCCAGCAGCTTTGTTTTTGTTGTTGTTGTTGTTAACTCTGAAAGAGGAATTGGCTAAACAGTTGAAAATGAAAAACGTGTTAGTAGCCCTGGCAAAGAGCAATAATGGGCTGAGTGGCCTCATTCTCTGCTTATGATATAGTGAAAGATCACATTTGGAGAACAAGTTGGCAACACAGAATGGAAGTTCTGCAAAATGGTTAAGTCAGACTTATTTGGTTCTTTGTAGTAATTGCTCGGCTAAAAAGCTGTGCACGCCCATATCATTTTATATCCCCCAGACTGCAGTATGTATCATCCCCAATTTCCAATCCTACACCTATGGGCTAACATGCTGTGGAATACATACGCCATAAAAAGTTTGATAAAACACAACACAGCTGGCGGATTCAAAGGGACCAGTTTACTGAGGGAAATTGATTTGGAGAAATATGGTTTCAACTCAGAAGGCAAAATGAAGGCAGGGAGAGGGAATAAGTCTCCCATTTATAAGGAATAAGATGGCAAAGAATTATATGATTGACAAACCTTGAACTCGCTTGGCACTATAAGCTTTGGTGTATCAACTCCAACCAGAGCGTCAAGTCCACAGAACAACAGAATGGCAATGATGATGGCAAAGTCACTTATCAGTTTCCGAATCTGATGGGGAGAGATAAAAAAAGACATGGATTAATGATATGTCCCACACACAACAAACACTAACCTAGCTTGCAACCCCCACTTGCCATGAAAGAATATAAAGGGTATCCCAACACCAGTTAGTGAAAGGACAATTCACCTTCTGAGATGTTTGAGACTTTTCTCAGTCATAAATTCTTTCCTTATCTGAGAGACTGTAGTACTGGCAGACCTAAAGAAATCTCAATGGAACTACAGAACAATTCTTAATTTTGGGGTTCTTGAATCTAGCCTTTCACTTTAAATTAAACCGTGCGAACTTTGTTCTGCTGGTGAGATATTCCTGAAAGTTGCATTCATTTTAAATCACATTGCACGATCAGAAGGTCTTACACATCAGACATGGCTCAGTGAATAGCAGTGCCTTGTTGGGTTGGTTTTCAGGCTAACACTCTGAGTGCAACACTGAGGGAATGCTGCACTGTTGATTAAACACTAAACCAAGGTGTCATCTCTCTTCCCTATTGCAAGTAAAAATCTCCCATGGCCACTATGTGGGAGAGCTGGGGGAGATCTCCCTGGTGTCCTGGACAGCATTTACCTCTCAGTAGGTGTCACAGAATCAGATTAGCCTGTTAGTGCCACTTTATGGTTTGTGGGATCTTGCTGTGCGCAGATTGCTTGCTGCACTCACAACATTGCACAACTTCAGAACACTCTGTTGATTATAAAACACCCCGAAGTACCATCGGAGCGTATTATGTAATGAACCTCCTCGAGGTGAGATGGTGGGCTATTGGTAATGTCACCGGTTCAGTAATCCAGAACCCCAGGCTAATGCTGGTGGACACAGATTTGAAACCCACGATGGCAGACAGGAAATACTATACTCAATAAAAATCTGGAAATGAAAGCCAGCCTAATGGTGACCATGTATTGTAAAACCAATTTGATTCACTAAAGCCCTTTAGAGAAGGAAATCTGCCATCCTTACTCAGTCTGGCCTACATGTGACTCCAGACCCACAGCAATGTGGTTGGCTCATTACTGCCATCTGAAATGGCTCAGGAACAGGATCAGTTCAACAGCAGATAGGGACGGGCAACAAATTCTGACATTGTCAGCAACACCTTTTTTAATACATTCACAGGATGTCTAGGCCAACATTTATGGCTCAGCCCTAATTGCCCAGAGGGCACTTAATAGTCAAGCACATTGCTATGGGTCTGGATGTGGGTCTTCCAGTGCTACTGAAGACAGAAGCAAGAGTGGGTCATTTGCTCCTTCGAGACTGCTACACCATTCACTCTGATCATGGCTGATCATCGAGCTCAATGCTGTCATCCCACCCTCCCCCTCTATCATCTTAATCCCTTTAGCCCTAGGAACTATACCTTCTTGGAAAACATTTAATATTTGGCCTCAACTGTTTTCTGTGACAGAGAATTCCACAGGCTCCCCACTTTCTGGGTGAAGACATTTCTAAAAGGTTTACCCTGTACCCTCTAACTCTCTGTGCATTTACCCTGTCTAGTCCTGTTAGAGTTTTATAGGTTTCTATGAGGTTCCCCCTCATTCTCCTAAACTCCAGTGAATACAATCCTAATTGACTTGATTTACAATGGAGTTGGGCAATCTCAATGTGAAAGATACAGCCTAATAAGAGGACTCCACCAGTATCCCAGCCCAGTTTTTTTTCCTTTATTCATTCACAGGATGAGGGCGTTGCTGGCCAGGCTGCATTTGTTGCCCATCCCTAATTGCCCAGAGGGCAGTTAAGAGTCAACCACATTGCTGTGGGTCTGGAGTCACGTGTAGGCCAGACCAGGTAAGGATGGCAGTTTCCTTCCCTAAAGGACATTAGTGAACCAGATGGTTTTTCCCAACAATTGACATTGGATTCACGGTCATCATTAGATTCTTAATTCCAGATATTTATTGAATTCAAATTCCACCGCCTGCTGTGGTGGGATTCGCACCCAGGTCCCCAGAACATTATCTGGGTTTCTGGATTAACAGTCCAGCGATAATACCACTAGGCCATTGCCTCCCTAAGTAAGACAGCTCTGACAGCAAATGGAATTTCCACTCACGTTTCGAGTTGCAGATTGCTCTTGCTGAGATGCCATTAGCTAATTATCATTGCCCTTCTCTCGCTCATCTGGCATTCCCATTCCAAGTCTCTGGTTTCACATGATTTGTGTATCCTAGTCAACCCTGTCTCTGGTAACCATCGGAGGATGTTGGGAGGGAGGCTTGTTCAGTTTTTGTTACTAATGATAGGAAAAGTTTATACAGCAAGATTCGCGCCCTGCAGGAACAAGGCAGTGAGCTCGAGAACAAAACTGCTGGAAAATCTAGCCATGAAGCAGAATATTTGGAGTGGAGCAAGGGAGGAGCCAATCTAAAATTACTAAACTTTAAAAAAAAATGAACAAAGTACAACGTTGGATAAAATCAATGCAACTAAAGTGGATCCAAGATTGGAACATGGTTCATGAGAAACAATCTAATGGAATACGAGTGAGGAGGACATTCCTACAGTCCTGTGTGGATTGGATACACTGAGCTGAGGTTAGATTCTGCTACCTCACACAAACTGGGGAAGGGTTAAAATCAAGTGAGCTGTATTGGTGTCCCATGATTAAATATAATGTGCCAGAGACCCTGAAAATATCATCTGCAAACACTCTTCACACTGTGTCCCATGTCCCCAGAGTCAAATGTTTTTCATATATCACCTTTTAGGTAACTAAATGCCCCATGGTGCTTGACAGCAAAATTTGACACCCAACCACTTAAGGAGGACCACAAGCCCAGGAAATGGTATTGATTTTCACTTTTAACTTTTGGTTTTGAGGTTTTAATGCTTAAAAAGGTTTAAATTCCTGGGGTCAGGAGCCAGGCAGCTGAAAGCATGACCACCAAAGGTGCAGCAATTAAAATCTTAGATGCTCAAGAGGCCAGATTTACAGAAGCACAGAGGTTTGGGAGGGTGGTGTATCTGGGGAGATTACAGAGATAGGGGCCCCAGAGGGATGGAAATGTTTAAATACAAGGCTGTGCTTAAGTGGGGGCTGATATAGGTCAGTGACCATAGGGGAGTAATGGGTAAACATGGCT